AACCCCTAGTAAGCAACAGAACACATAGTGTTCAGCCTTCGTCATCTGCGGCACCACATTGCTACAAACAGCTCTGGCATCCAGGACAAAATATGCGAACCATGAGGCCCCCAAGAAACTTGCACAACGGCACTATCACCCTGCATGAGAAAGAAGGCGTGACCACAGTCGGTCTCAAGTCTCGACCAACAGTCTCGACCCCTGCACAGCGACGACAGTTTGACAATTCTCCAAGCCTGCTGAACAAAGTCTCTTGCTGACCCAGAGGGTTTTTACGAATACCAGCCAGGTGAGTGATGCCTCATCGTTATTGAGACATTTCAACGGGCGCCCAAGGCCATATCGAGCGAGCCTCCCGCTTCGTAAGACCGATTTCAGATCATCTTTACGGACCCCCTAACTAAAAACTTGATAAAGACAACGCCTGGGCGTTGGAGTGACCATCCGAAACCCGTAAGAGGATCAGAGCGCGACGACATTCACGATAAAAAGAGCACTCGGCACGTGGTAAACGGCCGGCCTCTTGTTCGCACGAGTACTTTTCAGGGATGGAAAATGTTTCTGGACGTCTTCTTCCAAAAGGCACCTCCCATTGGGACCCACGACACATTCTGGTCTAAAAGGTAATGCGAAGCATATATTGACGGATCTCAATGCTAGGCATCCCCAGATCAGAGGGATGGAGGCAACAGACCTCGCGACATACCATAGGGGCCTTGCCTCTCAAGGTCCTGACTAATTGCATTAGTCGGGCATACGGGAGTGGAAGCACAGAGAGTCGGTAGAGAGGATCGGATAGATGTGAAACACATACTTCCGCCCTTCCCTTCAGGGGAAAGTCTCCTCCGAGACCACACAGATTAACCGCGATCTCGGCCTTCCCTTGTACCTCGACCAGTTCATTTCCAACTGGAGCTCAGGACCGAACCAGACGCCGAGTATCTTGATCGGCCCATCCGTCCAGAGAAAGGTCCGGGAAGAGAAACTCCCTTCCACGCACCCAATCAAGCCCCACGGTTGATCCTGGCCCCTGTCACCATCTCATACCCACTTATTTCTTTGCTGACTTCGTCAATCTCGGCTCTGCTCGACACAAGAGCCGAAACGTCGTCATAGGCAGAATACCTGGCCGAGGTGGTAGCGCCCGGCAGGGTAATTCCGCGCAGGACCGGATTCGCCTTTAACTTGCGAAGGAATGGTTTCAACGCAACGTAAAAGAACGTAAACCTTGACGAAGGGCGAGACAATTGACAACCTGACGAATGGAGCGAGACACCAGAAACCGATGGCCCTATCGACCTTGACTGATCCCATTCACTGTCCACCAGCGCACCATGGGGGGGTCGCCAAGAGCCGGATCCAGGAGCGAAACTGGACAGCCTCCAGAAAGTGGCCGAAGGCCTTGACTGGATCTAATCTAAGATCTTCGCCAAAATTTTAAGTCAGTATTTAACACGAAAGTCCATCAGCGTGAAGCGTCGATTTCGGTGTTCCAGCTGCTGCCTCAAGGCAGGAAAGTCAGCCAAATGGCATCGAACTGGAGCCTGACCGTCCTGATCCTTCACAGCACATAGTCTGTCCGGCAAATGTGCCATATCAGACGAGAACCCTGCACGCAATTCTGCGGCCATATTCGTCGCCCCAGAAGACATCTCTTTTTCTTTACAAAGTCAGTATTTAACTAACACGGATTTGACATTGATCAACTTTATTTTAATGCCGGTGGTCGGGACGACTAAAAATCGGCCCGTTCTAATTGATTTAATTTCCCCCCATAGGAGTCTAACCTTAGGTTATCTAAAAAGACCGGACTGCTATGATCCACTGGTAATGGAAACTTCATCCAGATAGCTCGCAAAGCCACTGGGAACTAGTTGTCCAAAACTACCTCCTGAGGGTGTTTTATTCCGGTACTTATGACAAGATCAAACCTGTCGATAAAGTCCTGAAATGCCTTCACATCAGGATTGTTAGTACCAGTTTTTACCTATACGATCTATATAGGAAGTCCATCTAGTTTATCCAGGCCAACCTGCATTGGACGTAAAGCGCATCCCAGATACCCGCCGGATCTCTGTTCACTAGCCAAGAGGAACGACCATCGCATGCTGAAAAAGGGCGAACCCTTAGCTGCCTCCACATGTTTAGGGAAATATAGTATATCGAACTGAGCAGAGCTCAGACCGGGCAGTATACCCGCCTGGTGAAAAGATTATGTATATGCCCGCAGAACTGTTGTAGTTTTCACAGTCCGCTTATATGATATGTCGCTTAATTTCCGGTTTTGTCTGCACGCGAATTTGCGGCCATATTCGCTCTTTTCGCCTCAGAAAATAATTATTCCTTTAAAATAACTACCAGAGCTATGATCCTTCTATAACGGGGAAGGAGGCCAACTCTGCCTATTAGCTAAGACTATGTTAGATGGTGAACTAGCAATGAAGGGATTTGACGGTCTACTAGAGGATGAAACTTTTTTTATCTTTTTTAATGCCGTTTTCTGTCTTTCGCTTTTATATTAGCTTTATACGATAAAATATATGTGCCTTTTTTTATATTTTACCCCACCAGGCGTTTCCACCTGCACAACCGGGTGAATCACCCGGTTAGTAGTAGCTGATTTGGGAAAAATTTACCGGAATAAAGTGATCAATATCAGAGATAGAGTGTAACCATAATGGAATCCAGACATACTAAGAGCCCTACGTCGACAATCTTCAACTAACACTGGTCCAGATATACTGGCGAAGCCAACACTTAGAGGCGAATAATAGAATACCCGAGAAAGTCCCAATGCACATCAGGACGTTAACCCGGTATATATATAAATAGCTCACGAGAAAGATAACATCATATGTGGCCTGACGATTGCATATACGGCTTGAACCTGAAGGAAACAGACTGTCGCCTCTAAGTGTTGACTTCTATGTTCACTTGTATATATATATATATATATATATATATATATATATATACAAAAGAAACAGGCCAGTTTGCAAAACAGATTTTTTCAGAAAGATATATAATCCGGTGTTCTTATAAATATTTTTGTTTTTACAAAATAGTGCTCGAATGTAAATTTTAAAAAATAAACCAGAGAGCATTAATATTATAAATTAATTGATCGGTTATTAGCTACAACCGATACAATGATGCAGACATAAGGAAAACCCGAAAGGGAGACAACACTTGTCCAATTTAAGTAGATTTATCTGTAACCATGGCAAAACAGGATTTTAGCTGTGTCTTTTAAAAACCCAGTAATTTTAAAAGTTACTCCAAAATTTGTTTGAGGATGAAAGAAATGGAACTAAAGTCTTTAATTTAATTGCAAAATTAAATTCGTGCCTTTAGCTTCCATTTTGAAACATGAAAAAGGAGTTAGAACTGTGTAGCGGAAAAATATTTTAAATCAATTAATTTATAATATATATATATATATATATATATATATATATATATATATACAGACATTTTTTTTTTTATACATTTTTTTTATAGATACGAATATTTAAGTATATGCTCTGTTTAAAATAAACAGATTTAACAACATTTCTCGGCCTGAATATACGAGAAATTTTCTTAGAAAATATGCTTTCTCTGACAGGAATCGAACCACTATCTTATACGGAACCGTCATATAGCCTGACGTGCCTTAACCGATTTATACTTTTTTTTTTTTGTAGAGATATAAATATTATAAACAGGGCATTTAATTAAATATTTCTATCTATAAAAATGAATTTATAAACATAAAATGTCTTAAAATGATTGTCGGACTTTGTGTCCATTTATATATATATATATATATATATATATATATATATATATATATATATATATATATATATATATATATATATATGTGTGTGTGTGTGTGTGTGTGTGTGTGTGCACAATCTATGAAAACATTGTGTGGCAGAATAATATTTATAATTTATTTTATATTGCAACCAGTAAATAATACAGTTCATACCAACTTATACAGTTTACACTAAAGGATTCACTGTTTCTAAAGCAATCAGTCTTTTTATGGCAATAATAATACATATTTGTTCACATTTTACTATGTCTAAGCATAAATGCTAGCAGGCAATAGAAAATCCATGAGGTCGTTGTGGAAAACATCTTCTGTCCAGGAATTGGTAGAAAATTCGTAGCCTCGGGCCACTTCAGCTTCCACCAAATCTCAAGTACTGTGAAAACAGGCAAAAGTAGAGATGGGTTCGTTTGATAAGAGGAAAAATGTAGAAAGACGTAAAAAGGGGAACGAAAGGCAAAAAAAGAAAGTAAGAAATAGTTTCGATTTCGAAGAGAGAGAAAAATAAAAAAAAAGAGATAGAGTGAGTAATAAAAATTTTAGAGGAAAAGAAGAATAAATAGTGATAGAAAGATGAGAAGAAAGCTGAGAGAAAGAGAGAGAGAAGAAACATCTTGAAGAGAAAGAAAAGGTGTTATATAAAGAAAAGAGACAGAAAATTAGTGTCGATATCTGAAGAGAGAGAAAGAGATGTATATAAAATAAGATAGAAATACAAAATGAGAGAGAGTGGTTAATATAAATAGGAGAGAAATATAGAATGAGAATTGATAGAAAGAGGAGAAGAAAGTCGAGAAAGAGAGAAGAATAAAAAATTCTTGAAAAGAGAGAAGTGGCAGGAGGAATTTAAAGAAAGAAAAGAAAAATAGACTTTTTTTTGAAGATGAAGAAAGAGATGTACTTATAATAAGAGAGAATGTCAAAAAAGAGATGGAGTTACCAATACAAATAGGAGAGAAAGAAATATAAATAGTGATAGAAAAAGGAGAAGAAAGGTATGAGAAAAAGAGAGAAGAATAAAATTTCGAAAAGAAAGTGACAGGAGGAATTAAAATAAAAGAAAAAAAAGAAACAAATATTGCCCATTTTTAAAGAGAGAGAAAGAGATGGACATGAAATGAGAGAGAAAAGCTAAAAAAAAGAGATAGGGAAAGAAAAATAACATTTCGAAAAGAAAAAGTCACAGGAGGAATTTATGGAAAAGAAACAAAAATAAATAGTGCCCATTTCTAAAGATAGAGAAATAAATGTACATAAAATGAGATAGAAATAAAGAATAAAAGAGAGAGTGACCAATAAAAATAGGAGAGAAACAGAAGAATAGAAATTGAAAAAAAAGTGAGAAGCAAGTAGAGAAGAATATAAAATGTCGTAAAGAAAAAAATGACAAGAGAAATTTAAAGAAAGGAAACAGAATAAAATAGTCTTTTTTTAAGATAGAGAAAGGTCTACATAAAATGAGAGAGAAAGACAAAGAAAGAGATAGAGTGACCAATAAAAATAGGAGAGAATGAGAAGAATAAAAATTGATAGGAAGGGGAGAAGAAAGGGGAGAGAAAGTGAGAGAATAAAAATGTCGAAAACAAAGAAGTGACAAGAGGAATTTAAAGAAAAGTAACAGAAAAAATAGTGTCGATATTTGACAATTGAGAAAGAAATTTACATAAAATGAGAGAGAAAAGCAAAAAAAAAAAAGAGATAGAGTGAACAATACAAATAGGAGAAAAGAGAAGAATAAAAAGTGATAGAAAGGGGGAGAAGAAAGACGAGAAAGAGAGAGAATGATAAAAATCTCAAAAAGAAATAAGTGAAAGGAAGTATATATAAAAGAATCAGAAAAATATTTTTTTTTTAAGATAGAGAAAGATATGTAGATAAAATGAGAGAGAATGTCTAAAAAGAGATGGAGTTACCAATACAAATAGGAGAGAGAGAGAAGAATGAATAGCGATAGAAAAGGAGGAGAAAATTGAGAGAAAGAGAGAGAAGAATAAAATTACGAAAAGAAGAAAAATCACAGGAGGAATCTAAAGAAAAGAAACAAAAAAAAAATAATGTCCATTGCCAAAGATGGAGAAAGAGATGTACATAAAATGAGATAGAAATAATAAAAAAAAAGACAATGAATCATAAAAAATAGGATAGAAAGAGAAGTATAAAAATTGATAGAAAGGGTAGAAAAAAGGCGGGAAAGAAAGAGAAGTATAAACATCTTGAAAAGAAAGAAGTAACAAGAGGAAATTTAAAGAAGAGAAACAAAAAAATACTCTTTTTGGGGGGATGGAAAAAGATATGTGCATAAAATGAGAAAGAAAGTAAAAAAGAGATAGAGTGACTAATGAAAAATAGGAGAAAAAGAGAAGAATAAATAGTGATAGAAAAGGGATGAGAAAGGTGAGAGAAAGGGAAAGAAAAATAACATTTCGAAAAGAAAAAGTCACAGGAGGAATTTATGGAAAAGACACAAAAATAAATAGTGTCCATTTCTAAAGATAGATAAATAAATGTACATAAAATGAGATAGAAATAAAGAATAAAAGAGAGGGAGCAATAAAAATAGGAGAGAAACAGAAGAAGAGAAATTGAAAAAAAGGGGAGAAGAAAGAGAGAGAAGAATATAAAATGTCGTAAAGAAAGAAATCAAAAGAGAAATTTAAAGAAAGGAAACAGAATAAAATAGTCATTTTTTAAGATATAGAAAGGTCTACATAAAATGAGAGAGAATGATAAAGAAAGAGAGAGAGTGACTAATAAAAATAGGAGAGAAAGAGAAGAATGGAAATTGATAGAAAGAGAAGAAAGGCAAGAAAGAGAGAGAAGAATAAAAATGTCGAAAAGGAAGTGAAATGAGGTGTATGAAAAAAAAGAAACAGAAAAAAAGTAGTGTCGATTTCTGGAGAAAGAGAAAAGGAAGTACATAAAATGAGAGAGAAAAAAGAAACAAACGAGATAGAGTGAGTGATAAAAATATGAGGGAAAGAGAAGAAGAAGAAAAAGTGATAGAAATGGGAGAATAAAGGTGAGAGAAAGCGAGAGAAGAATAAAACTCTCGAACTGAGAAAAAAAGAAAAGGAAGAGTTAAAAGCGAAAGAAAAGAATACAAAAAAGAAAAAGGTGAAGAAAAAATTGGAAACTACGAATAAAAAGGATGCGATAGATAAAAAGAGCAATAAAGAAAAATGGTTGAAGAAGAGAAAAAACGTGAGAGAGATAGAAACAAAGAAAGAGGAAAATGAAATGAAGAGAATGAAAAGAAATACACTAACATTTCTAAAGAGAGAAAAGTGGAAGAATTAGAAAATAAAGAGAGAAAGACAAAAAAGAAGAGAGTGAATAATAATTAGTGAGGGGGATGAGACTAATAAAAAACGAAAAAAAAGGTATAAAATGCGAGAAAGAAAGGATCTGAAAATACGAGAGGAAATAAAAGAAAGATGAAAAAAGAAAGAATGAGTAAAAAGTAAAAGCGAGTGGTCAAAAAGTATGTGAAAGTGACAGAGTAATAATAGAAGATAAAAAGAAAAATCAAAGAAAAGGAAAGAGAAAAGGAGATAAGGACAAAATAAGCAATAAAAATAATGAATCGAAAGGAAAGGGAAAAAAGAAATAAGAGGATAGATAGAAAAGACAGAGAGGAAAAAAGAAGATGGAAATAAATAATGAAGAACAAGTCAAGCAACGAAAGAGTTTAGATTTAAAAAAAGATGAGAAAGAAAATGAAAAATAAAAAAAAATAAAGAATAAATGATGCAGGAGGAAAAGAAAGATAGTAAAAGAAAAATAGAAAATCAATGAAGAATTAAAAAGAAAAGGTGAAAATAAAAGTAGAAGGAAAGAGAGAGAACGGAAAGTAGAGGGGGGGAAAGAATGGAAGAAAAGGAGGGAGGATGGAAAGCGGACAGAAAAGAGAGAGAGAGTGGAAAAGTGTGAGGAAGGAAATGAGAGTGGGAGGGAGGGAATGTAATGGAAGAAATGGAGGGAGGACGAAAAAGAGAGATATTAGAAAGGAGAGTGGACAGAATAGTGAGAGAGTGGAAAAGTGAGAGGAAGGAAAGGAGAGAGAACGGAAAGGAGAGTGGGGGGAGGGAATAGAAAGGCAGAAAAGTGGAGGGATAGAAAGCAAGGAGATTAGAAAGGAAGAGCGGACAGAATTGAGAGAGAGTGGAAAAGTGAGAGGAAGGAAAGGAGAGAGAGAATTAAAAGGAGATTGAGGGGAGGGAATAGAAAGGCAGAAAAGGAGGGAGGATAGAAAGCAAGGAGATTAGAAAGGAAGAGCGGACAGAATAGAGAGAGAGTGGAAAAGTGAGAGGAAGGAAAGGAGAGAAAGTATGGAAAGGAGAGTGAGGTGAGGGAATGGAAAGGCAGAAATGGAGGGAGGACGGATTGGAGAGGAGATAAGAAAGAGCGGGCGGAAAAGAGAGAGAGTGGAAAGGAGAGAAATCAAAAAGAAGAGTGGGGTGAGGGAATGGAAAGAAAGAAAAGGCAGGAGGACGGAAAACAGGAAAATAAGAAAGGAGAGCAGATGGAAGGTAGAGAGAGATAGAGAGAGAGGGAGGGAGGTGAGAAGACGAAAATAAGAACGAGAGGAGAGCAGAGAGAATGTAAAAATGAGAGAAAGAGAAAGGAGAGTGTGAGGGAGAGGACGAAAAGTAGAAAGAAAGAGAAAAAAGATGAAGGAAAGCAGATAGAATGTAAAGACGACAGGATAGAAAGTGAAGAGTATATGAGGGCGATAAGAAGGAAAGGAGAGTGTAAGGAAAGAAGAAAGTAAGGCAAGGAGAGTGGATGAATAAAAGAAAGGCTGGAAAGCTGAGAGAATGAAAAAATGATTGGATGGAAAAAAGACGAATCAGAGAGGACTAAAATGAGAGAGGCAATTAAGAGGAGTTGGAGGTGAAGGATAGAGAAATCAAAGCAGAACGGAAGGAATGGTAATAGGGCGAAAGGGAGAGAAAACGGAAATGAGAGAGAATTTGGAAGGATGACAGACGGAAAGGGTAGAAGGTTAGAGGTGGGAAAGAGGAGAGGACTATGATGACGTAAAGGACGAACTAAGGAAAAGAGAGGGGGAGAATAGCAGAGAGAGAGAGTAAGAAAAGGAGAGAGGGTGAAAAGGAGAGAGAGCGGAAAGGTTAAAGGAAGCAAAGTAGAGAGGACCGAATGGTGAAATGAACAGAGGGTGGACAGGAGAAAGAAATTGAATGAGAAGACGGAAAGGAGAGAGGAAAGTAAAGAGAGTTGGACGAAAGGAGAGTGGGGAAAAGGGCAGAAATTAGAGAGGGCAAAAAGAATAGAGTAAGAATGTGATGGGGAGTGGATAGAGAGTATGTAAAGGAGATGGAAACAAAGGAGACGGGGGAGGAAATGAGAGAGAAAAGAAAGGAAAGGAGAAAGAACTAAGAAAAAAATAGAAGAAAAAAAGATTCTTGGAAAAGTAAAGTAAAAAGAAAGATAAAATATAACGCTGAAAATTCGAAGTTAAAAATGGATGGAAAAAACTGAAAGAAAATAACAACCCGTATAATATGAGGGAAGTAAAAAAAGAAGCATGAAGGAAAATTGAATAAATATCGTAGACGTTGAGTTGACAAGATAATCAATATTATTTTTTGCTATTGATTTATTTTTGCAACTCTTTTACGGTGATTGTTTCCTACCGGCACAACGGAATATCGATTTCTTACGTTAGAAATAAAATTATCAATATTATTTTATTGTTATGCATAAAACTATTAACGCGATGAATGTCACTGTTATTTTAAGAATGATGGCTATCCATTCACGTCTTCATCATTATTTGTTAAATTTCCCAGAAAAGAACATCAATGATATGACTGCACATACATAGTCACTTATGGAGGTTGTCATGGATCGTATTTATGGATGAAGAGACAATTATACATTTACCGGTAGTGTAATTTTGAATATCACATGGAAATACTATGTTACCAACACCGAGAAAGAGTCAACAGTCAAAGCAGGGAATCGCTTATCAGCGATAGTCAACTGCGATGTACCAAGAATGAAAGAGTTAAGGTTTGCAGGTCAAGTTTTATTCAGTGAGTTTACTTCAGGAAACACACCAATGGGTTGACATCTTTGAAGATACAGGGGGCCGACACTATTTTTCAGGTTTTAGGTAGAAAAGGCAGTCTGTACCGTTTTAGTGTAATGACAATAACATTTAAAAACTGTTTCTATAGTACAAATGGAAAAGCAGAATTCAAATTAGTATTTTTATTTTTTTACAAATTTTACACAGGCGACAGTATTTTTCGGACATTGCAGAAACAATGCTAATAATTTATGGCAGCACCCTTTTTTTCAATGACTTCTATCAGTCTATCTTCATAATGTTCGTACATATTGATAATAACGTCTCTTCGTGTTTCGAGCAGTCTATTTTTAGCATCTTGTATGCGCTAACACAGTTCAGCCTCTCTGGTTATTTCTGGATCGTCGTAAAGAAGCTTTGCAAGCATTTCCCATATGTTTTCAATTAAATTTAATTCTGGACTTCTTGCAGGCCATTCCAGAGTAGTTATATTTGCTTAACACATCCAATTTTTCACTGATTTGGCCACATGGATGCTGCAGTTATCTTGCTGCAAAATAAAATTACTTCCCATTTCTTTTTCTATGAGTGGTAGGGCTCTCTTTTCCAAAAGTTCTCTGTAGCTCAAGTTATTTTGACGTCCTTTTAACCACTCGAGCCACAAGTTTCCATTCGGAGATACCATACCCCAAACCATGACTCCTCCTCCTCCCATAATGTCTCTTGTTGGGAATAAAAGATTCACCTTTTCTCGACCATGTACGCCACCCGTCAGATCCATCGAACATAAAAACGTTTTTCATCAGAAAATATCACTTTCTTGAAGTCGACATGGTTTGTTTGTTATCCATCTTTTGGCGCTTCCCAGCATTGCTTCCTTGTGTTTTCTCGTTAGCGCATTTCTTTTCTTGATACTTAAGTCCAATTTCGTGTACCTTTCTTTGTACAGTTCGAACACGGACGTCAAGTTCCTTTACTTTCTTCGCTGTCACCTTTTCTCCAGATGATAACAACTTCGTAACACTCCTCTTCATTCTCTTTCTGTTCTCTTGGAAACTGTTTTTTTTCCGTCCTCTTTTATCTTCTTCCACTCATAGTCTGTACTTAACATGTATTCAACTGTTAACTTCGGTAGCTTCATCTCAGCGGAGATCTTTCGGATGCTGAGCCCGTCTACTCTCTTCTTTTGGACCAAAATGATGACTTCTTTTGAATGCATTCTTCTTCAGGATTTTAATACGTTTTCGCAGTGAATGGTAAAGATAATCAAATGTAATGTTCAGGGTTCAATTTACCTGCAGAAATTTTGCATATTGTAGACGTTCGACGACTAAATCATTAAAAAACCCGGAATTTTTGTCATGTCCGAAAAATAGTGTCGCCTAATTGGAAGTAAAAATAAAGAAAAACATGAAACCAAAGACAAACCCATCAATCAATGTTCATACCATTAATGGTCAGTTACTGCTGAACGACCTACTCATCAACACAAAAGCTCTCGGCAGCAAAAAACACATTTAAGCACACTTTTCAGTGTCCCAAAAATAATGTCGGCTCCCTGTACAATGACCAACTCAAAACCATAATTAAAACCATAGGACCCTATGATTTCAGAAAATCGCGCTTTGA